ATACAGAGACACGCGCCTAATAGTGTGATGTGATGATTCCAATAATATAATCAAACAAATTTGCACATATTAACTAAAGAATGACAGTTGATCAGTGATTGGATAATCCAATTATTCGGATAAAATTTTAATTTCGGGGATTCCCTAATTTCCGAGAAACCCCAATAATATATATATAGTAATTATATTGAAATTTGACTAAAATAGGTATCATTTTACAAAATCTGAAATTGGTTATTGGCCCTGAAGGTTATATTTAAGAAAAAAAAAATAGTCATTAATATTATATTAATAAAAATGATGGTTTATACAGTTTAGTGTTGGGACGGTCTATTTTTGGAAATGTTGAAAAAAAAAGATAAAGAAGTTTTTTAATGTGCTAAGAAAAAGGACCAAATTTACAAAAAAAAAACAAGTTTTTGCGAAAAAACCGCTTTTATATTATATGTAAAATAAAGAAGAATTTACAGATAAGGGCCCAAAAAATGAAAATAATTACAGATAGAGGCCTGATATTTGAAAATGATTACAATAATTTGAATAAGATTGTAATATAATCATTGATTGTTAATGCATAAGAAATGTAATAATCAATTAGTAACTCGAATATAAATTTCAATAAAAAAGGTACATTCGATTCGTCAACTCATTATTCATGCTGTAAATTTATTTCATTGAAATTCTTATATATATTTCTTTAAAACCTGATCATAACGATACAAAGTTACAGATCGGTATGATTTTTACAAACTTGGAAAATGTTGAACAGTTATTCTGTTGAATTCTAAGTTAAACCAAGTAAACTGTTATTCTGTTGAATTCTAAGTTAAGAATGTAAGCTGTTGACTGTTTGTTTTACAAATGAAACCAGTTAATGCCCTTTTACTATTTCAGCTAACAAGCGTAAAGATGACTACATTCATAGAGTAAGGCCAATTTCTCATGATCCAACTTGGCAACTTCTATGAATACATTCAAAACATGAGATAAAGCAACACTTCTACCTTATGATATTGGAAATTGTGTTCGTTCTAAAGTGGGAATCGAGACATCATACATGATAGCTTGGAGAAGTAAACACAAAGCTACTTTTCATTTTGCATCACATGGATTTCAAAAATCCGGTCTATAAACACATCCTTGGTTTCAAGAATTTTTTATTTATATAAAGGTTAAATTTTATATGCATTATAGTTTTAAAAGTTTGTGATTATAAGATCATAGAGGAAGTGACTATAGAGAGGTCTGACTGTAATTATAAATAATGAACGATAACTCTAAAACATAAATCGGCTAGCAATTTTGACGATATATTTGGGCCCTTATTTGTATTAATGTTCAAATATCGGGTCTCTATCTGTAATTAATGTTATTTTGGACCCTTATTTGTAATTATTTTCGTTTTTGGGCCCTTATTTGTGAATTCTCCTAAACTAAAATAAAATAAAACAGTATTTATTTCTTAAATAAAAAAAATGTTTCTGAGTTAATTTTGAATTGGTTAGTCTCAAAATTTTTCTGAAAAAATGAAAAAGTTGTTGAATTGGTTACTTTTTCTAGCACCTACAGTAGTCTCATATAACGATAATTGAACCAATTTAAGTAAATATATATATATTATAAAAGTGTTGACCATCATGCAATAGTAAATTTTATATGCCATAACAGGTCATAAGGTCATGACGGATCATTGGCCAACACTGCGGAACTCCATATATATAATTACTATCAAAGATAAGAATTAACGAACATGTTTACGACAGCCAAGTTTTAAACGCAACTTATGATTACATCATTTTTTTTTCGTATGCAGATACACTTATACTATGATACTATGATACTATGATACTATGACATAGAACGATATTTTTAAACGTCAACTTTAAAAAATTTCATAAAATGGATTTACCTACAATGTCTACCTAATTTATTAATCTATTATTATTATTTACCCAATTTATTATCTACCCTGGATCGTTAGTTGCACAGGATTAAAAAAATGGCTAGGTTAGATTAATCGACATTAAGAGATTTTGAAGTTAGGGTTTAGGGTTTAGAATCATAAAAGGATCTATACCGATTGATACGTAAGTAAATTGTATTAAATAACAACATTATTATGAAACCTTTCTTCAGGGTTATACTAAATTATATTTAGAATTAAGAGTTATATGTACTAATATTAAGAGTTATATCAAAATTATGAAGATTAGAAGAGAAAAAAAAAATTTTTCTTAATATCTGTCGACCATGATCGTCAAAAGCTTGGCGCAGATTTCTGAATTTGAATGACCATAGTCTTGTGAGTATCCCGTATCGATATTGCAGTATTGTACTTTCTAACTTAAATGTATATCAGATATACGGATATGATACTAAATTAATGATGATGATGATCATATATTTATTGATTAAGAGAACCTAAATATTCATGCTCCGGTAATGCCCACGAACAGTAATGCGCATTTGATATACAAACTCTAATGGAAAGGATCAAAAATAAATTTCACATGAATTATATGTCAAATGGAATAATCAAATGAACTATTATAAAGAAAATTGTGGTAATATGTGATAAATAACCGCAGTGATATTTATACTTGATCATGGAAATTTGAAGATTTTTTTTTTTTTTCATGGCATGCATGCGATCTGTCCATATTTTTTTGTCGATTTTTTTTTTTTCGGGGGAAGTAACCCACTCAGCAAACAAATAACTTTAAATATATATATGCATTTTAATTTAGATATAATTATCAACATTTATGATCGGTTAATTTTAAAATGATGATACATAATGTTGATATTTTCTTTTCGGGTCAGTCTGCTCATCAAAGTTATCACTAAAAATAAAAGATTGATAAAATTGATCAAATAAAAAAAAAGAAAAAAACGACCTACACCATTTATATCCGTATTTGTATTAAATCTATCAAGAATGATACTTTTACGATGTTATGATAATTTCCAAATTTATCTTAAATGCTTATCGAGGATCTATAAGAAATTCGTTCTTTTCATACTGTGCATCTCATAAATTCAAAAAAAAAAATTATAAGTTTGAATATATGCGCGTGTATATTATCTGATGAATTGATATAATTGATTCTTTTTTACATCGAACAAATAGAGAAAGGATTTTATGATTATTTAAACGATTCAAATTGATCAAATTTAAACGAGTAAAAAATTCACGAATTAAAATATTACCTTACCGTTAGAGGAAGATCATAATTGGTTGGTCCAAGTAATTTTGAAACCCAAGTTTGTTTAATAATGGACAATTTTGTGGATGACTAAGCAAAACTTTTGTTTCTTTACAAGAATTCTTACATTATACAAAGAAAACTTTCGTACAATTTCGATCTTTCCATCTTAGTAATACTTTGTGATCACTTTGTACTGAACTATGTCACTAAATTAGATAATAAGGAGAATAGTTTGGTATAATTTGCTCCTTAAAAGTGAACTTACAACAAACAATCTAAACCATGTTTGAATGGTCTGAGTTACGGCATTTTTTTGCAATGACGAGATCAAGTTGATGTTACATCATTAAAGGAAAAATATAAAACAGTACAGTATATATCAGATTACTTGTTTAAAAAAAAACAAAAAAAAAAGATTTTTAACGTCAAAGCAAGAAAAGAAATACCTTACGCATCAATGAGATGTCAAAGTAGGATCTTAGTAGATCCTATTCTGTATCGAAAAAAAAAACATTCTTTCCTTCCCCAAAAAAGTGAAACTTTCGACCGAACTTATATGGAACCTATATGGTTGAATAATAAATGAATAATATTTAATGTGAATATTACAATGTTTGCACAACATTCAATATGAATATAGTAGTAAATTGGTAGATTCATGATGATAAACAGCGCCTTACTCCCAAAACCATCATAGAGGAAAATGCAAATTGATTTTTTATAACGCCATTATTTTTTAAGAATTGATATAAGGGGTAGAATAAAATTATGACTCCGTAAACAAAAACTTAATAAGAAATTTTATGTATTAGAATTATTTAAAGTATATTTTTTGAAATTTGTTTCAAGTTATTAAAAAATCCGTGAAATACATCAATTCTATCCTTTAGAAGAAAATTGTATAAGATGACCACAGAAGCTTATACAGAAGCAAAAAAAGGAATCTCAATGACTCATTGTCTTAAAAAAAACGAACGATAACAAAAAAATAACAATTGTTATTTCCTTTTTTGAATGTAACACTACTCATGACCCCATCACACAATTTAAGTAATTCATTGTTGGTAGGAAAGCAAAAATAAGTGTCAAATTTCGAATCATATTAATTTGATGAACCGACTTAATTTGATTCAAGATGAATTATACCGAGGGCAACATGATTAATTGATTGGTCTCACAACTATAAAATACAGTATGTATCCCAAATTGTAGTTACATAAAAATGTGTATAATTTTATTATGCATAAAATTTTAATTGAACATACTAATAAAAGATTTTGTATGTTTATTTATTTGTTGAAATTTGTATGTAGCATATAGTTTTAATAAGTCCGATCCGAGATGGTGTATGTAAAGTATTTATGTATATCTTTTTTACCAATCATCCTTAATGTCACTAAAATAATCTTTATCACTGAATAAATAAATAAATAAATAAACAGATTCGGAGATAAATTTACAATAACGATAATAGGCGATAATAGACGATAATAGACGATAATAGACGATAATAGGTGATCATTTGTGTATTAAATCCCATTCATAATTAAATGCTTGATAACAAAAGAGGTGAAATAGGTCGATACAGATAAAGTCTGTGTTTCTCCTTTTTTATATTAGTATAACCTTATTACAATATCACATAGGATTGTTTATCAACTGCGTCAAAAAAATCGATATAAAAGCAACTGTCTCCCAAACTTCAAAATTTCTCCTCCTTTTTTTTCATTTAAGAGCTATTAAAGTCAAGCCTTTTTAATCACCAGCCCTTCGTTTATTTTTTTGTTCATAATGTTTAAGGCTCAGTGGAATCAAAAGTTGGCCAAAAACAAAAATGGAGACCCACCTCTTGAAGAGTATTTTCCATTTATTGAAATTATATATAAACTACCGAGGAGTCAAATTTTTACTCCATGTCATGACGCGAATAGAATTTATCCACATCCACAGAAACGTCGTTCTAAAGGTGATCCACGTCCGATGAATTCATTCATGATACTTACACTCGTTGTACGAAAAGTCGCAGAAATCCATAGCGTTGATTTGGGTGATGGAAGGTCTTGTATAAGGATTTGCCAATTAATGCGCTGGGGCGCTTCTAAAAGTGAATGGGGGATTTATTTGAAGTTACAAAAAGAATTTAAAAACATTCACTCTCATTATTATCCATTATATGACTATCGAAAAAAATCCCAAGTTTCCGATAACAAAGAATTTGTTATCGTTAAGTCTGATGATTATAAAGAAGCTGAAGCTCTTCTTTCTGAGTCTCGTAATAAAAAAATTGCCTCGTCCGCTTTACCTTCTTGGTTTTCTACAAAGAATGGAAAGAATAGACGGATGGCTACAAAGTTACATCTAAATTTACCTGTAACGAACACAAACATTCCCTATCAGGAAATGGTTGATTCTCAAGTTATCATGACGACTCTCCTACCATACGACTTTAATCCTCAATTTGGTTCTCGAGATAATTTTCCTCTAAGTCTATCACCTATTTCCCAACTTGGGTCCTTTAAAGTTGTCGTCCCCAGCTCACCGCCAGTTTCTCAGGAAGTTATCGTTCCCAGTTCATCACCGGTTTCTCAAAATGTTGGCATTCAAGATACATCTATACCTGATTCTCCGTTCATTTCTCAAATCAACTCAGCCAACTCAGTTAACTCAGCCAACTCAGTTAGCTCACCTAGCTCAGTTAGCTCAGTTAACTCTCAGGAAATAGTAGTTACCAACTCACCGCAGGAACCTCAAGTTAGTTGTCAAGGCTCAATGACTCCTAGCTCGCCATTTATTTCTCAAGATTTTATTCCTAATTTACTTTCCACCCCATATTTCGGTTATCCTATCGACCTCCCTAACTGTCTCGAGCAATGTTATTCAAACATACCTATTCCTTCTATTGCGGTCAATTGCCAATACCAACAAGTTCCATGTTCAAAAATTTATGATAAAACTTTTTAATAACTTTATTATTATATAGTATATATATATATATATATATATTTAAAAAAAGAATTCTTTATACACCATTTTTCCACATAGAGATTATGAACAGCACCGAAAAATCCCGACATAATTTTCATGAGTCTTAAAATTTATATATCGCCGGATATTTAAACTTTTCTAAATAATTTTTTTTTTAATAGGTACCTTCCCTCAACACTATTCCTTCACCCCCTTTACCATATGAAATGCATTGTTAACTTTTAATTAATTATCCCTTAAAAACATTATGAAAATTCCTTCCCAATATGACAAAAATTTTTAATTCGTAACCCTTTACACTAAAGGTTCCGTCTCGTTTTCGTTTTTTTATCGTTTTCACAAAAAAAAAAAAAAAAAAAAAAATAGTAAATTAAAAATCACGATAATAATAATAATAATAATAAAATAATGATAAAAGGTGTTTAGCTTTATACAAATTTCGTTTTAAACATTTAAAAAATAAAGAAAATGATTTTTTTTTTTTTAATAAATTAATGGAAATTTTCTTTCGAAATCATTCATTGTATCATTTACTGCATTATTCGTGTGAAATTATCATCTAACGAGTGATATATTAGTAATTTATTGCTATTTTTTATTTTTTTTTATCTACAGTAACGTAAAATGGATGTGCATACATGATTTGGGGTTATTGTTATTGTTTGGGAGTGTGCACACAATCGTCATTGTGATGCATAAAGCATGCAAAATTATGCGACCGTTATCAAATTTTTTATGAACCTTTTCTCTTAAACATTTTTTTTTTCTTTCTTTTTTTGACAAATTTTTTTTTTTTTATCTTTCAACTTTATTTATACAAACACGTTTTTTTTTTTTTTTAAACATGATTTTTTTAATATGTTCGTAACAGTTGTAAATATCAACTGTAAATAACAACTGTAAATAACAATTGTAAACTGTAAACATGAGACCCTCTCTAAATGCGCCTTTTAGGGTATGATAAGAAGGGAAAATTAGCTTATGCATCAAAAAACATTTGTTTTTTTTTTTAAAAACCTAACAACCTAACTTTAGTTTATATTTCAGGAATGAAGATTAAAAGATGATCCTTTATGAGTATTCTGGAAATCAAACGCAAGTTGTTCAAGTTGTTAAACTTTTTTATTTTGAAAATCGATATTATTTTATTCATATTTTTAAAGATTAATTTCAAGAAATGATTGACTTTAATTGATAACAGCAAAGTTAGACCATTCCACACTTGATTATTACTGGTGCCAAAACGTGGATTTTATGATTTCATGAAGAATTAATTAATTATCATAATGAAACATATTAACGTTAACAAGTATATTAGGCAGGTGAATACATGCAAATACCACAAGCAAATACTCACATATGGGGTAAAAATACTTCCGAAAAAAGAACCAATAACTTTATGTAAAAGTATATATTTTAAAACATGTACGTACTTTTTTTTCAAGTGGAAGCAGTTTATCGTACACGGATAAATATAGTGGATCAGTTAGATTTTTTTTCTGTCACTTTTCTGTCATATGAAATCAAGAATGGATGTTGAATGCAAACTTTGATGATTTACTTGTAGATTGGATTCTTTATTTATTTATTTGTTGTTTTAATATTTTGATAATACAGTAGCTAATTTAAAACTTTCAACATTTCTTGGGGTTTTTCCGCGTAAAATCGATCATTAAGTGCATTAAGTGCTTTAATTTTAGGGTTACAATTGTTAATACTAAAAAAATCTTTTTCTTTTTCTTACTTTTTTTTTGATGTAAACAATCGCCACTTCCCGAACATGACAAATACTAACTTTACATAGAATAAGTGTTACAAGTAATGACGAAATGTTTTAGGGCGTGGAAACTTAATCAGTTGATCTTGGCCATTTTTAATTCTATCATTTAACAATGGAAAGAAGTCGTGTCAATAATGTCTTGTCATAATTTTACTATCTTTAAGTAACATTTTCCTAAATTGTTGAATCACATGAAGGTTTCCTTAAACAGAGAAGATACGTAATGCGCGGCGTACTAACGATAATCCTTCTATGATGGGCTTTCAGTGAGCACAAATATTTGCATTAACAACTAACAATGATAAAAAATCTATTCTGATAAATTTTATTCTGAAATTTTACTCTAATATAAAAATTTTTTTTAAAAAAAAAATTCCTTCAAAAAACTTTTTTAAAAAACAAAAATATTACAAAATGTATTTTATATGTAAAAAAAATTTCATAGTTGATTTTTAATTTTATTATTTTTGAATACGAAATATAAAAAAATAAAATATTCTACGTATAAATAATTTTTATTCTAAAAGATATATATATATATTTATTTATTATTTATTAATGTTAAAGTATATAAATATATATTTATATATATACATATACGGTATATTATAAAATTTTCAAATTAAAAAGAAAATTTTCAACTTCAATACAACAATATGCAAGAAAAAACCTATTTTTATCACGCATAGTAAGTCTTAAAGGTAATACACTCGAGATCATTGTACCAGGAATACATGTACTTATAACAATTTTTCCGTTGCAATACGAATTATAAAAAAGTCTTAGGTCACCAACCAATTGGATATTGACAGGTAATAAATGACAGCTATTTAAGAACTTAATGACCATTTTTTAAACAATATAATGTCAAAGTTACGTGTGTGTGTACATTTATTTCCACATTTATTCTAATATAGTGTACATATTATTAATTAAATACACATTTATAAACAGAACCTTCTGATTGATTGCGTTAGAATAAAGGTAATACTATATATACATAATATATATATTATTATTATTATTATTTTAGGGATTTGATTTACTGTAGTTAATGAAAAATTTTTGCGTTCTCGGACAATCTTTACTCTTAATATTATAATCAAAACGCATATAAAAAATTTTTTTTATTATAATATGATGGATTGGGTTAATACATATCAAAATCTAAGACAAAGAAATCTAGTAGTATAAATGTGCGTGAACGTAATAATATAGGATTTTCGCTGTCATGATTAGAATTCTATGAATAAATGCGTACCAATCGATTTTTGTTTTTTTTATACTACATGGTATGCGAAGAGATATTTATTAAATAAGCACATATAATGAAAGTTGTTTAATTGACATATAGCATAGCATATAAAATGTATAAAATGGATAAAAATGATTTTTTTTTCAATGGTCATTATGCATGGCAATTAAACGATCCTCTTTTACTCGGGTTAGTCTTATTACTAAGCACATCGCATTTTACGAAAATTTTACGTCAAAAAAATTCCATATAAAAAGTTAATAAATCAAAGCTTTAAAATATGTTATATATATAAAAAATAATTTCGGTCATGATTTTCAAATAACTTGCACTAAATATGCATTCATGTGAAGATTACGTACGTACCTATGATAATAAACCAGCAGGGTCTTTTTTCAAGGCTGAAAATTGTGTCTTTTGTAACAAATGAAAAACAAACAATTTTCTTTCAGGATCTCACGTGCTTTGTAACTTTTCCTTTTGAGTACAAATTGTTTTTCAATATTTGTATTCCAAAAAGAACTTCCTAACATTTGATGACATTTAATTATACCACTTTTGAATTCCCAATGTTCTGTTTCTAAAATAAACTAATCACACTCGATCAGTATTGATAAGTTGTACAACAGTTTATAATTTTAATGCCTAAAGTAGTACGTGCTTAAGTTCTTTTTTTCAATAACCAATCAAAATCAAGAAACTACGCTTTGATTAAACTGATTATAAAGGTTTATTTTTGTGGTTCAGAATTACGAGTAAAGATTAACGAAAAAATATTTTTGATCAATCTCTTGTTTCGTGTAATTCGTTTACACTGCTCAGAAAAATGCATTCCATAATCACGAGATTACTTATCGCCATCGAGTTGTCATGTGATTTGTTTTTGTAAACTATATAACTGATAATATACTGTCTTATTTAACTATTCTCGTATTTTGACGCGTGTTAAAATTAAATTTGTAGCTATACTTTTTATTTCAATGCTATTTAAAAATCAAGTGCGTAAAGAAAATGAAATGAGATGCGCATGTACGTATATGCGTAGCATTTATTCACAATTGTTGATCGTTTACATACTGAATGTACTTGGATTACGTCATTCGTGTGATCACACCAATGAATACTACGATTTTAATAACTTGATAATAGTTAACTTTGACTTCCAATAAAGAATACTTACAAAGAAATTTATGTATATTAAATACGCATTAATCCTAAATACAATTCTTATTAACTAAATAAACTTTTTTTTCGTTATAGTGAACTCTTGACAAAGTTAGCTCAAAACTTTATATAAACTTCTCCCATTATAGTGAATTTACTAATAAACTTTCAATACTATTAATTATTAAAAAAAATTTTTACTAGGAGTCTCGATTACTTCACTATAACGAGAGTGGCTTGTACTACTTCGAAATTTAAAAATTTTTTTGAGTACAGTAAAATCATGTTATTATTGACGCATATTATATTCATTTTTTAAAAAGGAAATTTTATTTATTTTACGATGTTTTGCCGAAGTTTTATTTATCCTAAGATTTTTTTGCCGAATTTGTCCTAAGATTTTTGCCGAAAATAAAAATGGAAAAAAATTTTCATCGAAACGTACGTTATTTTTTTTAAAAAAACGAAAGGAACAAATATAAATAATATTTATGTTCCAATATGGGGTTAAATAACAATCGAAAAATTTTTTACCACTACCCACGTGGTTATCATTAAATAATGTTTCAAACCGGTTTTTCTCGATTTAAAACAGGTGATTCTTAAAGTCCGAATAGAAATACTCATCGGTTTTTAAAAACCATAGCCATCCCTAAATTTGGGAGTGATGGACTCAAATATTGGTCCTCTGCAATCGTGATTTCATGGAAAGTTGGTGGATATTCGGTCGGCCAAACCGGAACATATCCCTGAAATGTGATGCTCGCAAGGTTTTCGTTGTTTTCGTCAAGCGATACATTATTTACTTGCGTCTGCTCGCCTTGTAACAATATTCTTTCCGACAAATGGATATTGCTTTCATCGATAACTATGTCGTTGGTGATTGGTAGACATATAGGAAAAGGAACACAAGCAGGAATTGAAAAAGGAGGACCTTGAACATTTGCTTGGACATGATTAGTCGCAGGCAATGAAGTATCTTTATTGATGTAGTCTGTCGGGCTCTTATTAATCCAACCAGACCGTCTATTATGATATTTTTGATTCGGAAATGTAGTTTTATATTTATCTCTAAATCGTTCAAATAAACGATCATATTTTTCATTATGTTGTAGGTTTTTAGCAATTGTCCAAGCACGACTGCTAATCATAGAAATATCAACACCATCGATTTTTCCCTCTAAAAGTGGTTTGTTATTTAGGAGTGAATCGATGTTGTCCCAGGTGATTGTGAATTCATCCTGGTTTGGGCCACCAGGGAGGAAGATCCTTGTTATTCTATCATCTATCTGCTCAAACATTATATAGTTTAATGAACTATTTTCTACAATCGACCGGAGATCATCATTGCCTATCAGAATTTCAGGCCACATATAGCTCTTTAAAAATCTAAATAATGAGACCAAGTTTTGAAACTTGATGTTCTTGATCTCATTTGCCAAATCTGTTTTCATTAAAATAAAAGGATTCGACATCCTTTTAATTCGACCATTTCTATTCTTCCACTTTGGTCTATGGGATAAACTTTTTTCTACGTTTTGTTCCCAAAATTTGGACCAATCAACTAAATGATATATCATCATTTGCGATAATGTCAAAGCAAATTGTTTATTGCAGTGAGCATCTTCTTCAACTTTCCGGGACTTCATAATTATATTATGGACTAAAAGTGCCAAAGGTCCAAAATCAATTTTTCTCACTCCTTTATAGATTCGAAAGGGATGTGTCATATAAGGTATTTTCATTTAAAAACTATTTAAAAATATATAACACATCCTAATTTTTATTGGTAAAACTCTAAACAAAATATTTTAGGAGATTTCAATGGTGTAAAAAATCATCACTAACCAATATAATCACGATAACATAAATATCTTTCATGATTTCCTTTTCTAGCTAATTGTAACGCATGTTATAGTATCTTATTTTACATTCTCACCCTACCAAAAAAGCCTGTAACCATTATTATATAGGTGATACATCACTCCGTAAATCCGAATAATGATGTTAGAACGCATTTATATCATTAAAATTCGGAAATGAAGTGAGCTAAAATCGGATTTGTACGCGTCGGAATAGAGAACAACTAATATTCTTTTGATTGACTTCTTTGAACTTTATAATAAATAACAAAGTATTTTGGTTCTATTGTAAACTTATTGAAGTAATAATTTGTAATTCGTGATCATAAAATGTAAAATAAATGCTAAAGTTTGTTCTTTATCAAAGTTTTTTTTTTATTTGTGATTATTCGAAATTATTATTATTATTACGATTTACTTTGTAATGTGTAATAATTGTGATGTAATAGTTTAATTAGTGATCCATTTTTGTAACCATTATATAATTTAGTTGTTCGTATATTTAAATTTTTTCATATCATAAATGCGGGGACTGCAAGTCGTGTATCACGTGATCCGTATTTTTAATTAAAAAAATAGGAGTCAAGGTTGTCTAGAGTTAGAGTTCAGGTAAAATTGTTTTATCACCATTTTTATCAACTTTTTTTTTTATATTAATATTAAGATTAGACAGCCATTTTTTTTGTATTTTTCATGCCTTTTACTTTCACTCATTTCTTGCTTGCTTCGTGCTCATGATAAACAAAATTAAACAATCTTGATTGTATAATTCACGTGGTTACATGGTAACGTAATGTAACAGTAAGATATTAAGGTTTAGAATCCGGGAATTTACAAATTTAGCGTAAAAACAACCCACGTGATAAATGCATTTTTGATTTACTAAATATGTAACCCTTTTTCCAACGTTAAGGATACCCTTAACATAGCATTTCTTGAATGTATGCCAGGTCATTGGTGTAATAATCAGCCATAGTGATCGTCCTCCATTGGTATAATTTTTGGGTAAATGGTCTTATTATGTCATTATGTCAAACTTCTACGTACTATACACTGTAATGAGTGCAATCCGTATCATACATTCGTAATGAATGAAAATTTCTACTTATTTGTAAATTTTAGTAACAGAAACATGTAAATATCTGGTATACTTCGTATGTAAATAGAATATATACATACATTAATTATTACAAAAATATTGAAAGTACGTATGACGTACCAAACCATGTGATAATTAGTATAGTATTAGTTTCGGCTGCTTTTGTTCTTATTGCCGAAACTATGCTATACTAATTATCACATGGTTTGGGATGTCACAAATAGTTTGGGTTACATTACTAGTATGGATAACAAGGTTCGTAACATTTAATTTGTAAAAATGAACTCCTTTTGTTGGTTAGATCAGGACGAACGTTACTGTTTTTTTTTTATATTAAGATGTGATCTAGTGTAGGCTATATGAAAAGATTCTTTTGTTTAAAGAATCTTTTAATAAACTGTATAATACGTATAATACATATTTATTTATTTTATTAATTGTGGTGGAAATTTGTCTTATTTTATTATGGAATTTTAAAAATTTTGAGGTACATTTTTTTTAGGGTTAGGGGTTAGCTTTGTGAGTAGAATTTATAATAAACAAGTATAAGTAGGTTTTATGGACCTAAATAGAGACCCTCAAATTTTCAGCTTCAGCATCATCCCCAATAATAATTTTTACTAAAACTTTTAAAATTAATATTTTCTTATTATTTTGCAGAAAAACTAAAATAATCATAAAATAGTTCATTGAGTTCAAATAAAAATAATGTTATAAAACTATGAGAAATGTATTTTTTTTGAGTAGAAATCAGCTTAATATCTTATTAAAATTTATAATTTTACTATTTTACTTGAATTTATTGAATATAAAATTTAGATTTATTCTAGTATGTATTACAAAATGAGATTTTCGAAAAATAGATTCAAGATTATTCTTACACATGGTTACAATTTTTAATAGATATGTTTTTATTGTTGATCTACGTTCCTGAGATTTATATGATGTGTACATGGAATGTCTTTCAGTGTATTGTCACACAAAATAATTAGAGTTGTTAGAATTTTCGCGTCTTTCACTTTCCTTCGAATTGTTATCCAAAATTTACGGCCTGATTTGATACTCTTTTTAGACGAGTCCTTGATCACGTGATGTGTGTTACGTTTCACAGCGAATTGCGACGAATCCGAATGAAGATTATTATTACGTACGAATGTACGTAAGTGCTTATGTAGATAATCAATATGATTTGATTACAATTACATAACATTGCAAGTGCTCAATTTGTCATATGCTTCTGCAACACAATATATGTATATAAACGTAAGGGGATAAATAAAATTCAGTTCATATATAATGTACACAAAAGCTATTTTCAATTTATCTTATCGTTTTATCTTATCTTTTCCTTTCCCCTTTCAAATAGTACCTTATCAATACATCAATTGGTTACGAAAATGTTAATATATGCATGGGGTTCAGTGCTCCATGCATTCAAATCAAAGATTCACAAAAGATTCACAAAAGCGCACTGGCCGGATTCTCCATTTTTTTTTTCATCAATGCGTACATATATTTAGTGATATTATAAAAACTTATATAGTCGGAATCTCATTTTCGTAATCACATGGCGGAGTTTGATGCTGAGCCGATAGATTGGTAATTGTTGGCAATTGTCACCCTAATTTGCATAATGAGATAATATCATATTTGTTAATGGCTGTGCGTCAGGCAAGGTTTGATATACCATTGACGTACTATATGATTCTTATTAAAAGTTAAATCGAAGCTCCACATTTCTAAAAGAATAGAATTCAAATCAAATTTCTGCATAACCTACAATATCAATATTTAAACAGGATTGTTTAAACCTAACATCTTAGCATGTAAATGTAAACCTTAATGGCTACATGCTTTTGCATACACCGATTCGTTCAGTGGGGTCAATGCTGGTTTGATAATAATAATAATAATAAATTCTCGAGTAATATTTGAGAATTTAAATCACAGAGTAAATAATAATTAGATGTGATAAATTCTTAATTATACCCTAGATCAATCAATAGGAATTAATAGAAAATGATGTGAAATTATTATAGTTTATCACAGTTATTCAGTAATCAATGCATATTCGGGTTTATTTAAATTTATATTGAATTATCAATTTCATTGAATGTTTCTATATATGCTACTCTTTTAATGTAATCTTTTTTAATGCAATCTTTTTTTTTTGTGTCGAATAATCTTTTTTTTTTTTTTTTTGGTTCACAATCTAGAAATCCCACTGTTTCGAATTTGTAAAGAAGGCATAATGGCTAAATTTTGAATTGATAGAAAATACTTTATCTTTCGAGGGCTATCATAAATTTGTAGTACTAATTTAACGGAGTTTTAAATAAATAAATGAGCATAGACCAACTTTTTTTGTGGTCAATATTGGTCATATTGGCCAATATGATAAACTATAATTAAATGAAACAAATTACTGTGTATATCTTGTGTATATTCGGATCATCATTGAACTAGGCTTGATTTATTTAATTCATGAGTAAGTACATTTAGATATATTTGATTACAGAAACTTATTGCTGACTTATTATTGAACAAGGAATAATTAGCCTAACACGAAGGCGCAAATAGTTTTCTTAAATGAAAAGTATCACATAATGAAATAATCGAATTCATAGTCGATAAGCATTTTTAGAATTTAAATCATATTAGGAAAACAAATTTGGTAGGTATTTAAAACAAACAAAAAATGGAATTATTGGCGACCAAAAAAAAAAAAAAAAAAATCCTTTTTAGAAGATTTCGGTCCAATATTACATGAGCGACGATACATATTCTAATTGGCATCTAATATGGGAATCAAAATTGGCTTGACACTTATATAGTACATCGATACCGATATCAATATCGATATCAGTATTCAATATTGTTACACATATACACGTGATTTGTGATTTTTGTGCACTTAAAGTTTTATTTTTCAAGATTAAATTTTCTTAATACATATACAAAATTGATTATAACTAATTTTCACCCTAGGTGATATCACCCGGTATTATTACAAGTAAATAAATTTAGTGTTAGGGGGTTAGGGTTGGTTTTTTAGGTTAGATTAAACGGGTATAAAAATATATGTAAAATTTGAAGCTGAAAAGTTTTGCTTAGAAGTCGAAGCATGGTTTTTATAATTAAATCCTGAGTTATCTGAGTTATTTGAGTTTTTTGTTTTTTTTTCTTTTCTTCGCATTGTTTTGGTTATACATGATCCAGCGATCTGATACAACCAGATGATATCACCTAGGGTGAAAATTAGCAATAGTCTACGAAAGTTTATCGATAAAATTTATACAAAAATAGAATTTTTATATCTTAATTTGCTTAAAAATTTAAAATATCTTAGGCTAGCTCTTTCGAAAGGCATATAGCTTCAACGATACAAGGTTTTTTTCTTCGTGAATATTTATAAAAAAAAAAGGGTGGGAATAAAAATAATAATAGTGAAAAAGATTCGTTACAAAATATATGACAAAAATCGAATTGAATAATCCTCTGCGTAAAAAACGAAATTTTCTATTTTGATGTGGCGGTAATAAAGAAAAAAGATGTTTTCAGATATTATAAAACAATCTATTTGTTTCTAATACTTCATGGGGTAATTCGTAGTGTTGTGGTTCTCCAAGACTCACCGTGTGATCGAGTAAGGTGTTTCCTAATATAAACGGAAAGTAAAAACACCCAAAACCATTTTGAAGAAAACCGGCATTGATAGGGAAATTCATAGCGACATGGTCTGAATCGTATAATGAAAAATCGTTCGTTGCATTGATTAAAGGATTTGAAATCGAATTGCTAAGATTTTGAAGATTTTGATCAATTTGCGAAATACTTTTTTTATTCGAATGTTTCGTTGTTTTCTTAACGCGTGATGCCCCCCTTTTCTTGTTTGTCTTGTGAATCCTATCTTTATGTCCGAAATTGTCCATGTTCACATTCACAAAAACATTTGCAACTTCCTTTGTCACCTTCTTGACATTACAATTCTCGTATCGTTCTTTTTCAATCAATTTAATATGTTTGGCAATTTCAACAAATATATTTTTTTGAAGCTGACTAGCGTGCTTCCAAATTTTCGTGGTAACTTGAGTTAGAAATTTACCATCTGCAATTTCATCGGTGAGTCCTCTTTTGATCGCTAATAAATATATTTTTCTCCTACAGCAAAGGAATGAATTCATTGGCCGAGGAATTTTTTTAATGTCTTTGGGAATTGGCATAAGTAACTCATTTATATCAATGTTGAAATTAAAAAGCTGATTCATATCCAGCTTATTAATAAATCGATCTAAAGAATCATCATATAAATCAATAAAGTTTGGTTCTGTCATATTTTTGTAAACAGATGACTTTGAAATAGAATGATATGTGTAGTCAATTATTTATAATTTGAACCATCTGATGAATGTTCAAAACTCGACTTAGAATGATATGTGTAGTCAATTATTTTTAATTTGAACCATCTGATGAATGTTCAAAACTAGTCAATTGTTTTTAATTTGAACCATCTGATGAATGTTCAAAACTCGACTTAGAGAAAGCCTCATATTTATATTGTTTGAAGAAATATAAATGATTTCTGTCAATAAATTTACACAAGTGTCTTTGTAAGTGTCTTTGTCAAATCATCCATTTCCGGTTTATCAAAATGAAATAGCGGGAAATTTGAACGAAGGCGTAAATTACGTATAATTCGTATAATCCAAATCGTTAAATGGAATAATTATAATACTGTAATTATTATTATTATAAAAGATTGAGTACTATCACCATATTAGGGTAATGTTTATTACACAAGACATTATCGATATTTAATATACATCTAAACTTAAACCTAGGTTAATTATTCCGTCTTTACCCCGCGTAAAAAATACTAACCTAATAACTCTAATATGATAACTCTAATAACATGTTAGGTATATGCTAGTTATATATTTACGTTTCACTGAGGGATAAGCGACATCCACATATTAACCTATTAAATCTGTGAATTATACTAATTTATGTTTCACTTAGGGATTAACAAAAGTTTAACTAGTGATCTGCGATAATTGGTTACCTTAATTTCAAGATTTTTTTTGAAATTAAAAATATACAAAATATATGAAATAATTAGAAAAGAACAATGTCTTTTACCTTTTCATATTGTTACTAGTTCTCCATTATTAATCGTAATGAATCGACCGGCACATAACGGATTTACTTTTTTTCGAATAGTTGGATGTCAAACATACATATCTATGTGTTGTTATCTAGATAAAACTTTTCGTAATTTTAGACATTAATATTCTGACTTCCTAATGTAAAATAATTAGGTAGTTATGATAACATTTCTCCACAAATAAAAATATTATAAAAATATTATTGCATCAATTAAATATAAACATTAGTACGAATATCATTATCAAAAACTACTATTGTTCTTGTTCTTTATAATGTATGTTTAAATTAGGAAACAAACAACAAGGGATGCTGGTGTACAATTGTTAGACATCCGTAGTCAAAAAATTTTACGATAAAAAATCCTTTAATTTAATGTAGGAGCATATAGCCAAAGACAATCTGCAATTTGTAAAAATAAAACATAATAGCTAATCGTTGCATACTTTTGCAGACTTCTGAAAACAATGTGAATTTTTGTCATTATAAGTTGAATTCTAGATATATATTGAAAACGTGGATTATTTTGCGACATTTCTTTTTGTCTCCCTATCATTTGACCTCGTACACTGCATATTTAACAATGGTTCAGCATAATAAAGATCATCATTTCCGATTTTGGGTAAAATTTTCACATGTTTAACAATGCTTTAACGTTAAATCCCTTTATGACCAATACTTTTTCGCAAAACAAATTTGGAATATAATTAACTTCGTTTCTTGATCCAATTTTTTTTTACGTAATTTAAGAAAATGCGGGGAAATATAATTGCATCTCTCAACAATAAATGCGGAATTCTTAATGCTTCCATATTTGTTCGAAAATGACAAACATCCTTTATTTTCCTTTAAACTTACCCTCAGGACTGAACAAATAAAAAACAATGAATTCACTATTACTTTTGTGTGTAGTGTGAATTGATGACTTTTATAATCTTACGAATTTGGATTTGGATATCTATTCCCTTAATTTGGTTCCAATTTGGTTCAATTTGGTTCCAGTTTAGTTTTTTTATCCAATGATGACATGCATAAAATACTTAGTTAATTCCCATCTAACATATTAAATATAAACATAATGGTCCTTAACACAATGGAGACGCATTGTTACTCTCAAAAAAATGCTAGCCTCCAAAAAAAACAAGGTTACTGTAAAAAAGGAAGGTGCCAAAATCACACATCATGCTATTGTGCGGAACTTTTTATCCGGATAATACAAATTTATAATGGGGTAATTAGTGAAAACAAAGAAAGTTTAATGCATAATTCTCTGAAAATTCTGAGCCAACTAAACATACAGAACATACAGTAAAGTACATTATATAATGCATTGCCTCTAGTTTATCCTTTTAGATCTGGTCTCTATCAGTTCAATGTTTAAATGCGTAGAGGATATTACGTATTCGGATTTTCATTAGACATATACTGATTGCATTTACAACTAAAAAGATAATTAAAAAATTAAAAGGATTAAAAGAATAGATAGAACATATAAACTTGTAAGCTTGACCTGTCCACTATTCTATATCAGATTTTAAGTTCAGCTATGTTTTTCGATTTGTCAGCGCCCAATGTAATTTCAAGTTAAATGTTCGATCGGAAGTATCGGAGGTAGATAGTGCAGCTCCGGATCTACAATAGAATTGACACTATTGTGCCTGCCGAGTTTTAGCCAAATTATTAAACATACAATTCTCTTTGACTCAATATGCTGTACTTTTACGGACTAGAGAAAATTTTTCAGTCATTAAGAAAACGTGAGATTTTTTTTTTTTTTTCTTAAAAAATGTTCAAGCGGTCTACCTCTAAAAACTAATATTTCTGCATATTTTTGTATATATGTAAATATATATTGAGCTAATTATAAATACATAATTATAAATACTTAAACTAATTATATAGAACAGTATATTTTAAGAATATTCTAACTTCACTATGGTTATGACATATAAAGACAGAGCTCCATCGTGATTATGACGTACAAACGACAGAGAATGACGACACGCGTTTAATGTCTTTTTCTCAGAAAAAATATTAAAATAAAAAAATTCCCATAGTAAAGTTTTAATATAACCTTTTTTAATAGTCTAACTCGAATAAACATCAGATTTTTTGCATGCGAAAGTATATCATAGGTTTATGTGCAGTCATAGGCTAGACTGTATCTAGTTCCTATAGAAACTTTCAATTAGTTAGTTTGTGACTTACAACTACTAAATTATACCTCATATTTAAGGCTTTTCGCCAGAGGCGTGATTATGGTGATTTAGGATGCTCTCAAGCATCTTTCTCAATGTGATCAACTAGTAAACAAGTTCGTGCACAAGCACCATAATTAATTGAGATCATTATTACGGCAATTTCGCTGAAGGTTCATAGTGCGAAATGCGGATCTTAAATTTTAGCCAATAAATACAACTCTATGATAAAAAAAGATGGTCTAGACCATCTTTTTTTTTTATTGCGATGACAAGCTTACTTGATCGTTCAAATTATGTTCCGCTAATTAAAAATTGAGCACCGATCTATTAATTTAGGTGCTTAAGAGCACCCTGTCAATATTCAAAATATATATTGTAATACAATGAAATTAATCCAAAACTAATCATATGTTAGTATTTTATGTGCCCCTACCTCGCACATAAGTGTTGTAACCAACCTTGCCCAAGTTATGTTCTTTAAATAATTTTTAATAGACTAGTAGAATGGTGTTCGCGCCTTTACTTCACATCATGCTATTATTTATCGTACGATTTCATAAATTATCACACGATACGATTCATGACATAAATTATCGTAGAAATTGGTGCTATTTAATTACCCGAAATACATAATAATTTACCCGGATAACCCGAGTAATTTAATCATACCCGATAGAGATGAGTAGGTCATGCATTTTTTTTTGAATCTACTGCAACAATATGCTAGCCGACCAGAGTTATGCCAACTAGCCTGATTTTGAAAATTACACACGGCTTCTCAAAACTTATCGTAGTGGCCATCCCTAACGTACTATTTCTAAACCTCAAGGATAATGAAAATTCCACAGCTTATAATTTACCATTACCCGTGATAGAACAAAATTGATCGATGTCATAGTTGCTATTATACAGTTCTTGATAATAATTTACGACATCATGACTATACATGCTGGCAAAACTAAAAATTTCGAAATCCCACCCAAATCCCAAAGCCCAAATCCCATTCAAAATAAAATAAAATTCGTCCCAAATCCCAATCCCAAATCCCAAGTCTCAATAGTTTTGCCAGCAAGTATAATCATGACAGTTACATAATCGGCATTTAAAATTCTGATCACTGTTACCGTATTGTCTCGAAATAACACCCTGCAGTGTAGGTTAAATTTTGGCCAGAATTAAGCTTAATTCAGCCTAAATAAAGTTTAATTCGGGCCAAATTTTAACCTACACCCCGAGGCGTTATTTCGAGATAATATGGTAGGTAGGGTTGTTAAATTACAGTAATTTTACGTAATTTTACGTATGTTTGTGTAAGATTCTGTAAATTGAAATTTCATGTAATTGTAATTTTGAACACATGATATTTAGTTTCTGAGATCAAATTTTCGGCGATTTAGGTTTTACATTTCAAATCGTACATTCAAATCAATCGCTGCAATAATGCTGGCCGAAATTTTGTAAATCTGGTACTTTATGTATGACGTGTGAAAGTTAACATGAAAATTGATTTTCTGTAACTTACGTAAAATTACATGTAACACAACCCTAATGGTAGGCCATACAAAATTAATTAATTGGTTTTCATAATCCGGCTGGGTCAAATTTTGAAAACTTGTAAAAAATTTTTTTGTTTTAATAACCGGTGGGGTTTTAAAAAAAAAGTTAACAAAAATTTTATAAAATTTATATATGAAAATTTAAAAAAAAGCCGACCAGTCGGTCTGTTCAAAAGTTTAATGTTATGAAAATCAAGATATTAAATTTGTGTGGCCTTATAGCACTCTGATAGTTAGTATCAAATACATAATCAATCAAGTGTAAAGTAAAAGAGCAATCGAAAAATTTAGAAATATTTTATTTTTATCGCCATAGCGATGTATCACTACCTCTGAAATTTAGTTGTCACGTCGTGTGATGTTTGAGTTCCAGTATTCGAGCTCAGCTTTTGATTAGTATTGTCTCGAAATAAA